GTTCCTTCTCCTGCACGTCGAGCCGGAGCCCCGGTTACCCGTTAGGTTCTCCGCGACTCCGAATCGGCAACAGCCCTATTGGGCCCCATCTGTGGTGGTCTGATGGGTCTTTGAGGCGCGCGCGGAACGCGACGCGCCGTACGCTCGGGTCTGTTTCTGGTCGGACGGGGAGCCACCCATGCTCGCCGTCCGCAGTCCCGCGCTTACGGTGGCCGCAGATCGTCCTGTGATCCGGATACCCGCTGTTGGTAGCACCCGCGAAGTGACTAATACGTCTCTGGTCTTGGTCTTCGTCTACTTAAGTACTGGAAAGAATTATTGTGATACAAGTTTTTGTAAGACTATTGTTCTGTAGCTTGCCTAACTTATTTAAAACTATTTGTGCATCAATGTTATTGGTAGAACATGGAGTTGCTATTAATGTATATTTTAACACCCTTCTGAATTACATGTATTCACAAATAAATTGATTTGATTTAATTAGATTTGATCTGTTTATTTCCAATATTTGATCATTTGGTCCCTGACTGGCTCTCGATGGGTGTATGTGTAATCTTTCTCTCATTGGAAAACCTTCTACAAATCTTTTATAATAATCTTACAATCTTTCAACATTCAACTCGACTGAATCCAATCTCAAATAATAATACTAATTTAATCTCAATCAGTTCATTCGATAGCAAAAACGTAATACCACAAAATCTTATAAACTCACAAACAATTTGTTCAAAGTGGATTTTCTGTGCTTCGTTTGTTTAGTCGAGTTTGTATCGATTTTGTGTAGCTGAGCGTGCGAGTGACGTGTTGCAGCAACCAGCGCGCAGCGTGGCGTAAGTGAGAATAGTTACTATAAAACCCCTTTTTGTACTTCCGTCCTGTTTAATTAAATTTCATTTCAGAAATATTAGTGAGTTTTAGTTTACATTGTGCTTTGTATTATACTCTAAAGAAGTGACATTAATTGATTAAAATATACAAAATAGAATTAGGCGTTAATTAAAATACTTATGTAAATAATTTGAACATTTCGTGGTTGATTTCGGGAAAATTGGACGTATTGGTTGAAAGAGAATTAAAGAAAGGGCAGGGAGTCAAATGGAATGGACATTTTGAGTAATCAACATTATCATCATCAGCTCCCGGAAGACGTCCACTGCTGCAGAAAGGCCTCCCCCTTCGTCTTTCACATTTATTTTGAGCAATAATAAGCTATAATTCCGAAAACAGAGTTCAATTTCTAAACTTTCTCCTCTTGGCTCAGTGATCTCGACAACTCCACCAATGAGACTATCACAGCTACTAAAATTATTAGAGTTCTATACAAACCAATTCGTAGAGAAATAAACTTTCGTAGGAAGCAATAGAGTTCGGTTTACATATTGAAGTGGAGACCTTGAATTGAGGAGACAGCGTAAGAAACTTTTTAGATAAACAGAAATAAGACAAGTGTCGAAGTTTGTCTTTGGTCTATAGAAAACGAGAAGTGAATTGTCTATATTGCGGGATGTTTTGGTGTTACAAGTTTACATGTGTGTGTGTGTAACCGTTACAGGTACATAGAAACAATTCAAAGAATGCCATTTAGCGCTTGTCTACATGTAGAATAGAAAACCAAATTATATGGAATTGATGTAAATTTTGACACTTGTCAGTGTCATCGACATACATTTGTATCTTGACTGACCATAACCTTGACTGTACGGTTGGCGCGGTGGTTGGGCGACTGGCTGCCGCGCAACGTGTTGCGGGTTCGATTCAAGCACGGAACAACTCTTTGTGTGATCCACAGATTGTTGTTCTAGGTCTGGGTGTCATGTCACTGTGGTTACAGGCGTGGTTACAGCAACAAGTGGCTGCGATATTGTCGATAGAGCAATGTAAGCTAGAGATATATAGTTTGTATAGTTTTTTATGTGTTTTAGATACCAAATCGCGATTCAGTAAGTTTCAATATTTTTTAAAGTAATATTTAATAAGATTTGGTTTAAACTGTCAAACACCAAGCGGTCACCGGTGACCGCAACCTATTGTTCTATAATTGTGTCTACAAAACCGGTACTCAACGAGTTATGTTGTTTATTTTGCAAAACTAGTTAATTACTCTTGTTATCTTAACCATCATTGACCCACCACTCTTTTACTTAATATCACTGAATATAAATAAGAGTAGACTAGAGTTCTATTTGTTTCATAAACCTCTTCCATTTGTGGTCATGGAATAGATAATAAATAGTAGTATCAGTTTCGAACTCTATACGGCAAAACCCACACATATGTAGGTACTTACTCTCACACCCACATGACATATGAAGTTGATAGATTACTTCGTATTTTGTTGTGGGATAAGCCCGTAAACGAGCAGACGGATCACCTGATGGTGAGCAATCGTCGCCGTTCATGGACACCCGAAGTACCATAGGCTTTACAAGTGCGTTGCCGGCCTTTTGGGGATTAGGAATTTAAGGATTGTTGGGGATTTAGGGGTTGGGGTAGTTAGAAAGGGGGGTAACTGGGCCTCCGTTAACCAGGTCTCCGGTAAACTCATTCACGGGACGAAACACAACACAATTCACGTCGGTTTTCTGTGAGGCCGTGGTATCTCCGGTCGAGCCGGCCCATTCGTGCCGAAGCATGGCTTTCCCACACATCAATGTATGTGTGGGAAAGCCATGGTATTGTGTCCTATTATATTGTTAAAACTTATTAAAATCTATTAATTTGCACCGTTACAGAAATTAAACAAAAATACAATAAATGTAGTTTAAAACACTTTTGGAACAAAACATATATGGATGTAAATCTGAAATTAATGATAATTTATTTATTATTATTTATTAAAAAAAAACAGAACAATGTACAAATATCTTCACTCTGTTTAAACTTTTCGAGGATACTCGATTAGTCTCAAGCTGCAACGGGTGTCTTAATCATGATCATAACAGATACGATTTACCTACATTTTTGCTCGTTACTTTTAAAACTAAAATTATTATATAGAAGAAAATACGTATGAAAAGTCACACGTAACAGTTAGTCTTATAAAGAATCAAGATTTTTAATATCCATTCTTCAAATATATGAATATTTAATCGTACTATTTGACAGAACTTCCACACTGATTGATCGATTCGTAAGGACTCACGTAAAAGGGGCATCGATCATTTTCGATGAATTTTATGAAATATATGAATATAATATTGTTCGTTCAATCTTCTTTAGGATAATATGTGACTTTCGGCAATTCGGGTCTTGAATTTTAAATTGTAGTTTGTAACTCGTACAGTGAAATGCTCAAACGTCACTATATTTTAAGTCGCGCTTAAGTATAGTTCTGTCTCTATAAATTCTTTTTATAATGACAGAGATGGCACGATAGTTTAGTACTACTTAAAATTGAGAAGCCGTTCAGTATTCGGGCGGGCCGTAATAATATGGAGTTTTTGTAAATCGATTAATAGAGAGGTTGATTCCTATCTAAGGGATTACTTGGAAAGTAAGCTTAATATCCTAGTTCTTTAAACAGATTTTCGCATGTGTATTATTACCCAAATTTTCCCTGTGAAATTCATAAAATTTCTATTGTATTGTTCTAAGACTACAAATATAAATTCTATAATGACCTCCACCAGTTTGTATACTGCCTTTACTAAAATTCGATAACGAAAATCCCAAATATATAGAGGTATGTCGATCCATTTGACACAGTCACGAAAACTCAGAGTAAAAAGTCAACACTTCAAATCCACCTTTATTATCCTTTAGAGACTTAAGTCTACAAACCATTTTATTTGAACTTGCATTTTATCCAATAAGAGCTACAAAAATGGCGGCGCATTCTACGTTCAAGTATGGGAATTTCTCGATATCACACTGTGAAGTAGAAAGTGTATGGAATAGCTAGAATGTTTGCACTGCGGGGTATCGGCAGAAGTATTGCGAATATCGGAATTTGGTTCAACTGCACAGCTGCGGAATTTATTGGAAGATGTATGTTGTATGTTGTGTTGACTATTTCGCTGTTTGTGTGAATAGGAACGTATGGAATGGACTATTATGCGAAAGATATTCTATGGTTGTTATTCGAGTTTTCGTAATAAAAGTTTTTGAGTTTGTGATCTTAAGTTGATACTAGTAAACTTTAGTAGCATTAGAGGTCACATTTTAAAAGGTTAATTCAAAGTCAAAGTCAAAGTCAAAGCATTTACTTCAATTAAACCATAGTTTGGTACTTTTGAAACGTCAACAAACCCAAAATAAATAATAGTCTGTCAGTCAGTCCGTCAGTGAAATTAGGTGAAGCTAGGTGCTCATTCCAAAATGTAGATTCGAATGGAGAAGAACGAGCAAGAAACTCCATTCGTTACTCTTTTTTTAAAAAGTATGTTCTACAATGTCTCTGATACATATTTCAATACTGTACTCATATGTAAGAACAATGCAAAGACGCGCTTGACGCATTGTACTAATAACTTACTAAAATAAAAAAAATAAAAATCTTAAGTCTAACATGGTGCTCACATATGCATACTGACAATCCATAGAAATAGTGCATATTACAAGAAAAAGGAAACTCTTTATTTCAATAAAGAAAGAAATGCTCGATGCCATAAGGAAACTAGATTGTCTACATTAGAATTAAAGTATTAAATTATGTATTATATTACCTACTATTGGAATTTAACTACTGACTACATTTGAGTTTTGTCCAGTGGAGCCGAACCAACATGCTGCCAAGCATTCTTATCTTCAAGATAATCTGTCAGTGTGTAGTAAGCTTGATTACATAATTCGCGCTTAATATATGTTTTAAATTTACTTTCATTGAGATCTAGTATGCTATTTGGTATTTTATTATAGCATTTAATACCTAACCCCATTTTTATAGACTAAAAACTCTATACTGCTTTAGGAAATACTTGAGTGTAGCTCTGCGCAAACAACTTGTGGATAGTCTGGTCCTATCAAGACTGAACTACTGTGACACAGTTTATGGTCCATGCTTGCTAGCAAAAACAAACAGATTGGTGCAGCGTGTTCAAAATGCTTGCATAAGATACTGTGTGGACATACCACGAAGAAGCCATGTCACCCCTTTTGCGAATCGAAACAATATTTTAAAAATGGAAGCTCGGAGACGTTTGCACCTGGCAGGCCTATTGTTTGGAGTTATTACTACCCAAAAGCCACGGTACCTGTATGAGAAATTACAGTGGAGACAGCATAGTTCAATAAACCACATACGCTCAACTACAAATCCACTATCCATCCCTCAGCACAGAACAGCGGCCTTCAGGGGGAGCTTCAAATATGCTGCGACTCACTGTTGGAACAACCTGCCACCACCAATGCGAGGCCTGAAAACCAAAAAACACTTTTTACAACAGTTGAAGAATTTACTGTTAAACACACAAAAACGTACATAGATTACACACACTACATACATAACACATACAATTCACTACTCACCTCAAGGGTCGCGGCCTTCCAACATGGTGATGCACAGGTATCCAACAGGTTGTTGTTCGTAGCTGCAGCCTCCCCCATCATTTATGGTCAATATAGGTATATCTGTATTTTACAGGTCATGCCGGCTACTTGCTGTAAATGCAAAACACACAATTCATATCACACTCACACACGGTACACTACTGCTTTAATAGCAACAATTCACGTCACTACATTTACCAAGTTAAGTGAATCATGGTCTGCACTCACATCATTTCGTTGTTTTGTTGTTTTGCATTCTTGTTCGCTGGCGATTAGTGAAGCTGGCGGGACGCCATTACGTCACCCAAGGAGATGCTGAAAATCAGCGCTGCGACGCTAACCTCTTGAGGTTTAAGTCGCAGAAATTGCTGAGCATTATCCTGTTTTTGCGCACGCATACATGACGCACAATATTATGACCACAGAGCATGTAACAATGGCATGGGCAGTGTTTCCTTGTCTATGGTCCACAGATAATGTTAGATATTAAATATTCTATCATTTCAGTAAAATAATAAGTCTGTGGACCATGGACAAGATCTCACTTCATTTTAATTTTTTAGCTTTTTTTGTTTTCTTTTTATTTTTTAAATAATTATGTTATGTGTGTTTTGCGCAGAAATAAATGGTTTTTCTTTCTTTCTTTCTTTCTTTCTT